CGAGGGCGACGAGTCTCAGTCATCGTTCCTTTCTCTTAAATGACCAATAAAAGGGTTTGAAAAAATATCACAAAAATAAAATAAAACAAGATTAAAAAAATGGAAAAGAAAAAAGATCCAGAATAGTATACAGTGGATTTTAACGGCGCGCAAGAATGCCAATAACTCTGCCTTGCTGTGACACGCGCGCTTGCGTGTGTGTATTTTCTCTTCCATTATAGGTAAGTCATTTTTAAATAAATTATTAAGAATAAAAAAGATGATTCATGATATCAATAAAAAGGGATGATTCAATAATGCTTTTAAAATTATCCCATTTTTAATATTTTTCTTAATTAATTAATCATAATAAATACTAACCCAATCTTTTTTTTTTTCTTTTGCCAACAAATACTAACCCAATCCGACTCATATATTTTAGGAAGAATTACAACGAGTTCTCATACAAGGAAAAAAATTACAAAACAAGTTCTAGAAGTTGTTATTCTCTATTTTAGAACTTGTCATTACAAGCTGGTTAAGTTGTTATTAGACATTTTAATAGTTATTTCTCTTGTCTGGGACTTGATTGTAATTCTCTTTATATTTTAATCCCTCTATCTACCATAAATATACTGATTGATATAAGGACATTATGGGAAATAAAAAAGGTAGCTGCTGCGTAGATTTTTTTGTAGTGGCTTATCAATAAAACCGTGAAAGATTTCTAAAAGTTGACTTATAAATAAAGACCAAATTATATTGGCAAAGGATAAGACAAAAATATAAGTATATTTTTAAGAAATTGCCAATATAAATATATATAGTGTATTCATAAATATTCCCAAAACGATGCTAACCAATGCTCCTTTATTAGGTCTTTTGTTATTTTAGTCTTATTAAATATTTTATATATTTTAATAAAAATTAAACATTTTAAAATAATACAAGAAGTTATTCTAATGGAGAAAGATATATTTTGAAGTGATCTTATGTGACTCAGCACAGTTAACTTGACTTTAGACAAGAGAAAACAAAATATAATAAAATCCATCTGTCCCACATACCCCTTTAAAGAAAAGCACATGAATTATCAAAGTATGAAGCAAAAATATGTCCACAAATTCCATGATCAACCATTCAATCCTTTGCCCTTGTCTTCTTCCTCACCCTTAGCCTCTTTCTCAGAAAAAGAAGATTCAGAAATATCCCGCCAGGCCCTGCTACCCTTCAGTCACCCGGCGGACCTCCACCACCACTTTCATCGTCTTTCCCAGAACAAAAGAAAAATTACCCACAGAGAAGTAACTGTATTGATTAATTAATAAATTAATTAATAAAGAAGCCAGGAGGCCTCGTCTTTATTTCAAGTACAACACCAGCACATAAACTTAAGAATTATATGTCTCACGTACACTCAAAATTATATAGAATTCATGAGCAATCTTTACCTGGACTTCCCATGAAATCAAGGTAGTAAGACATTATTCTTCATAACAAAAATAATCATTAAAAGCTGCAAACACATATGTATGACTTATTTAGGCAGCTCTAGAAAGGTACCGCCTCTAATTCTTAATATAAAACCCAGTTGACTAATTTGAGGAGATTAACGAAGTTACAAAATAGCATATATTGTATGATCTTTCTAGCATATTTCTGTATATTATTAGATTATATATTAATTTATAAGTGAGAAGAATTAGTTAGAAAAAAAACTATAAATATAAATACTTCAAAAAATCTAGTAATGTTCTTAATCTCTTTCAATTAGTTAACTGGGTCATATGATGGGATAATATCTGAAACAAGACAGCAACTTATTTGAAAAAAGACCGGAATTTAGACCACATGGAGCTTTTGGAATAGGGTTTGATGCTGGAAGGGCAATGAGTAGTATGACGAGAACCAGGAGGACATTTTATTCCCGGCTTATCCATATCCATCATCGGCGAGTCTTCCCATGAACATTGATCTGCATCGTCATCATCATATAATATTGACATATCAGTTTAGTATGCTCACATATCACAACGGAATCTAATTAATTAATAAGTGATTAACTTAATAATCAGGCAAGAAGCTAGTTACAGAGACTCAGATTGGAAAAAATGAAATAAAGCCGCAAAATAAACGACGTTGAAGTTCTTAATTACCATCTGGGATGATGCTACGAACATTAAGACGAGCGTGAGTGGAAGAGGGAAATGAGAGAAATATTGTAGAAACCCACATGAGAAAAGCAATTAGAATAGCCTTCTTCATATTTTACAGCAATATATACGACTCCTCTAATTTGGCTTTTGTTTATATATGCTCCCTATACTTACCCTTGTCTTCCTCTCTATTTATGGTCTCCAGCATAGGGAAGCACAGTGTACTGACATAAAGGGCTGTTAATTAGTACTACATCTAGTTTTAAATATAAGACATTAATCTATTTTGTTTTTCATATTTACTTTTTTATTTTTTAAAATAGTCTTTATGGTAATTGCACACGTTAAAGTCTTTATATTCTAATGCAGAAGATTAATAAGAATATCTTAGAAAATTTAACACTTATTTATTACAAATAACTAACTTAATTAATTTTTTTAATATTTGTAAATTAGTTGTCTAACTCTTATATTAAGGACAAGATATAATATAATTTATTCTCCCCTTTCTATCCACTCCAATCATACAAATAATTGTTTCATATATATTATAAAAAAAAATCTAAATTGACTTAGTCGTGCCTTCAACCTTGGCGTCTCTCCCATATCCATCTCTTGCTTTTCATTCGTTTCAACCGTCAGTCAGTCGCAACTACCCTTAAATTTAATTCTTTTCCTTTACAATTATATATTGTCGAAATTTCAATTCATTCCCTGCCTTGCATCAGCCCTTGTATTACCCCCCCTTCACTATTCCTCATGTTATCCTCTTTATTAATACTTTATATATATGATGCAAGAATTTTCTTAGTGCAAGAATAGGGATGCTTTCTTCCATTTGAAAGTTTAAATTAGAGTAGTTTTATTTAAATGATGAAGACGAGAAGGATGAGGAATGTTTATATTTTTTGGATTAAAATTTATACTTTAAATATAGTTTTGTATTTTAAAATTTGATCAACTCATTTTGGACATTATTACATTTTAATGTGTAAACTAACTTAGGGCAAAAATAAAAAAACATAAAAGTGGACTTTTGGGTCAGCTCGACTTATGGGGGTTAGGCTTCAAGAAACAGTTAAATTTGGGGTGGCAATGCTTCTGGGTCGGAGCCCATATGGGTCAGCCCCGCCCCATTTACTAATTCAAGTAGTTCTTGGAGACATCTCTGAACTTAGCATTTATTTTCTTTTGAAAAAATCAGTTCACATTCATGACTCATGAGCACCAAAAGTAAGGCCTACAAGAAACAAAGTGAATCAATGAATTTGGCCAAATTTGGAAAAAAATTAGTCTACATTCTAAGCTTTAAAAAGAGTCTAAGAACATGCAATTTTGATGTGTAGGTTAAAAGATATTACCTCTAATTCTAAATATAAGATCTACTATGCCATATTATATTCGGTCATAAATTTAAAATCAATTTTATAATGCAAATTACAATATAAAGTAGACCTTATATTTAGAGCAAGAGGTATTTGCATTACAAACTAAATCTTACATTTGAGATCAGAGGTAGCATGATTTTCAACTAGAAAATATGAAATTACAGTTTTTACTAAATTAACAGTAACTTTTCCATGGATTTTTTGGGAAAAGAAGGAAATATAACGAGCTAAGATGTATTTTTCGCCTATAAAGAATTTAAAGAACTTTAACTAAAAACTTGAACCACTTCATCATTATATTTCTTGATTTCTTGATTTAGCTATGACTTTTCAAAAGTAGCTGAAAATTCAAGATTTATTATATGAATAATAGCTTGAAGATCAATCTGAGTTTTGAGGTTTTTTATTTTTTAAGGGTTTTCAATTGCCAAAAGGGGTTTTCAAAGTGCCTCAAATGCTCTTCTCTATATGTAATATAAAACAGTACTATTGACAAGGTATGAATAGTAAGCTCACCCCTATTTTCACGTAAAGCACGAGCTCACATTTTACCCTACAAAAAAATAGGGGATTATTGACGGAACTTAGCTATATAATTCTTTTCATATTCGTCACGAATTAATTAGGAATGGGATGTGTATTTATAAATCTATTTGTCGATTCTAGATTTCTATTTTGTGTTATATATTTTGGTACATTTGTATAGATAATATATTATTTCTTTATTATATCAATTATATTAATTATTCCTATAACTGAAAGTTGTTTATATCCTAAATATACATAAATAATGAAATAATTAAGCACAACAAATTATCAATATTAAAACTTGCAACGTCACATATCGATAATAAAATAATTCATTTGTCAATCTTAATATGCAAGATATTTTCAATTTTCAAATTAAAATGTGTGGTTCCCAATTTCCCATGCTACCAGTCAAGTATTTCTATATTTGAATACAAACTCATATGGTAAGCATAAGCCAAAAAAAAAAAAACCTCATTTTAAAAGACTAGCTTGCTAGGAATGAAAGCCAGTTGAACTTATAAATCTTACAATGCTTATGAGATTTTCTAATATAGAACTCATAACAAAGCACCTTCTAGAGAGCCAACGTCCCGGTAGCTTCACTCTACAGACTTTATTCAGTCTTCTTATTAGTTAGAAACTTTTGTAGGTAGCCTTATCTAGTTGGTTAACTCTCAATAAAAATACCAATATGATAAGTATAAACCCAAAAATAAGAGCTCAATTTTAAAAATAAGAGTGAGAGTCTCTTAAACTTATAAACCCTATAATATTTATGAGATTCCCAATATAAAACTCATAACACCCCATCTATATTAATTTCTATATACAAGATATATATTAATAAACAACTATTTCCCTTATATATTTTCTGGGGGCTAAAACGTGGAACACACAAACATATCATGTTGCATACGCATAACACATTACTTTCCCATAGCCCGTTATGCTGTTCATCCCTGTTTTGAAAAGACATGACATCTACGGCTCACAAGTTGAAACCAATCACTTTGTAGAAAAGACATCACCAATTGTTGCATCAAATGCTTTTCTGCACAGATACGTATGCATCATAAAGCAGATGTCAGATAACGCATAAAGTATACTGCAAAACAAAACATAATAAAAATCCATTTGTCTAACAAATCTTTTTATTTAAAGAGAAGCACATGAATGAATCATCAAATTATGAAGCAAGCAAGCAAAACTATGTCCACAAATTCCATTATCAATTATTCCATCCTTTGCCTTGCTTTCTTCCTCATCCTCAAGCTCTTTCTCAGAAAGTGAAGATTCAGAAATGTCCCACCGGGCCCTCCTTCTCTTCCCATACTCGGCAATCTCCATTAGCTTAAAAAGCCACTCCGCCACCACTTTCAACGTACTTCCCAAAACTATGGTCAAATCTTTTCTCTTTGGTTTGGCTCTCGTTTGGTGGTGGTCGTTTCTTCGCCCTCTGCAGTTCAAGAATGCTTCACGAGAAATGACATCGTTCTGGCCAACCGCCCCCAGTTCCGGCCCGGAAAGCACATCTACTACAACTACACCACCGTCTCTTCCGCCCCATACGGCGTACACTGGCCCAACCTCCGTCGCATCCTGGTGCTTGACATCCTCTCGACGCGTCGTCTCAATTACTTCATGGAAATGCGAAGGGACGAGATGAAGCTACTGGTACAAAAGCTTGCTCATGATTCTCGTAAGGGTTTCACGAAGGTGGAGCTAAGATCTAGGTTTTCTGAGCTGACATTTAACACAATGATGAGAATGATATCTGGGAAGAGATACTGGGGAGATGATAGCAAAGTTGAGGACGTGGAAGAAGCAAGGAAGTTTAGAGAGACGATGAAGGAGTTGTTGATGCTAGGAGGGGCAAATAATCCCAGAGATTTCTTGCCGACACTTAGATGGTTTGATCTGGATAACTTGGAGAAGAAGCTCAAGGGTATTAGCCTCAGATTCAATAGATTTTTGCAGAGAATAGTTGATGAGCACAGAAGTGGAAATACTCTGATAAATCACCTCTTGACTCTGCAGAAATCAGAACCAGAGTATTATACAGATCAAATAATCAAAGGTCTTGTTTTGGTAAAGAGCTACTGTGTTTTTGCTTTTTGGTTGCATTGTCATGTCTATTATTCATTTTGCTTTTTAACTAGTTCCACACTTTTGCAAATTATATATCCTAGCCGTTGTTTGATGCAAAAATAAACGAATATATAATGATTGAGTAAAGCCAAAGAAAAATGAGAAATGCTTTTAAATGACATGTTTTGCGCTTCTGCAGTATTGTTGAAAATTTTTGTTCCCAGTTAAAATATGTTTGTGGGAAAATTAATCTAAAAATTCCTATAGTTCCATATGATTTTTAATTAGGTCTTGTAATTTGTTTCTTTTATTAGATTGTTATGGTATCAATTGACTTTTTTCATAATTAAGGCCTTATAGTTTCCTCCCTTTATATTGTCACATGAAACTACAAAAATCTAATAAAAAATCATGTGAAACTTTTCATCCAAAAAAAAAATCATGTGAAACTATAAGGACTTACATATTAATTTTTCTTATATTTATTGATGTTGTACATATATTACCACAAGTAGTTAAATAATGAATAATTCTTTTTATTAAATCAAGTGTTATTCCTCAAAAAACTCACAAAACTTGACAACGTTTGACATCATATATAGGCAATGCTTCGCGGGGGAAATGACACATCTGCTGTAACTTTAGAGTGGGCAATGTCTAGTTTACTGAATCATCGAGAGATATTAACAAAGGCAAGGCAAGAAATAGAGTCACAATAGGGCAAGAACACTTGATAGATGAACAAGAGGCTTTGAAACTGCCATATCTTCAAAGCATTGTATGTGAGACATTTCGATTGCATCCTGCAGGCCCATTATTGTTACCCCATATGTCCTCAGATAAGTGCACCATGGGAGATTATAACATCCCACCTGATACTATTGTGCTGATTAATGCTTGGGCCATTCATAGAGATCCTCAATTATGGAGTGATCCTTTATGTTTCAGAAAGAAAGAGGGGGAAGCAAATAAGTTGATGCATTTTGGATTAGGAAGACGAGCTTGTCAAGGTTCAGGCTTGGCACAACGCTCAATGAGCTGGGCTTTAGGCTTACTGATTCAATGCTTTGAATGGAAACAAGTAAGTGAGGAAGAAATTGATATGACAGAAGGAGAAGGATTGATTTTGTCAAAAGTTGTTCCTTTAGAAGCTATGTGTAAAGCACGCCAAGAGATCGTTGATAAGTCTCTTATATAGTTGGAACATTTGCAGAATGATGTTGCTATTTGTCGGAACCGTATGGCTCAATTGACAACAAACATTTTCTCAAGTCTTGACTTAAATAAAAAGTTGCAAGTTTAGCTCTTCGTAAGAATGATGAATGCATGAGTTTTTTCTACTGGATGAAGAATGACAAAATAAAAAAAAGTAATGTTATAACATGCAACCAAAAAAAAAATATTTAACGTTGACATTGATAATATATCTTGACCAACATAATTTCACTCTATGATAGTGTTACTCAAGACAAATGATGAAAATAAGAAGGGTTAATGTGCAATTCACCAAGTATTTAAATAGGGGCAATTGTAAGAAATTTTTTTATTTATTTAAATATCTTACTACCTCCAGTGCTAATTATAAGATTTCATTTGTAGACTACAAACGAGATCTCATAATTAGGACCGGAGGTAGTATTATCTTATCTAATTAGCTAGAAACTGACAAGAACTTGTGTTCATATTATCTACTGCTTGGTTGACTATATATAAAGTATCATTAGTATGCTTGGAGAAAGGGTTAGAATGGGAGAAAGAACGGAAATATGTAAAGTCAAAAATCGAGAGAGCAATTAGAGAAATCTATTTTTCTCCTTAGGACAAAGTACTTTTTTTTTTGGTTAAGGTTTAATTGGCTGTGTTAATCCAATTTGATGGGCGGCGGGGTGTTTGAAATCTCTCATGATAGTTATAATTATTTTCACGTGAGTTAAAACTTTTTTATATATTTATCTTTTTCTGTGTAAAAGGATCCCCCCTCCCCAAAAAAAAAAAAAAAAAAGTAACCCAAAAACGGGAACCTGTCACTCTCATGTAGAGGAACAGAACAGTTGTATTCATAATGACAAAAGATGGTTTTTGGGGCCCAAACACAGCCTTTTGTTGTTGTTCAGCGTTTTTTTTTTTAAGCACATAAAATTGGACTGGACCTGACGTGGAGGCCCAACTCAGTCACAGTCATAGAGCGGCTTGTACCAAAAAATGGGCGGAGCCTCTCTCTGCTGCAAGGAATGGTGCTCAGCCTTTTTTAAGGGAGGGGGAAAAAACAAAACTAACACCCAACATTCCAACCTCTTAAAGCATTTTCCAAGTAAAAACTATTTTTTAGTACTACTCAATAATAATTTTTTATACATCTAATATCTTAAAATATTTTTTAGTAGCATTTAATATTCTAAATTTTTTTTGATTAAGTAGATTTCATTATTCTGAAATATTTTTCACTATCACCTAATGTTCTAAAATAAATCTTTGTGCGTTTAACACCAAAAAATAAATTTTTAGTAACAGTATCATAAAATAATTTTTAGTGTATCCAACGCTCTAAAATTATCAAGAGTACTTGGTATCATAAGTTTAAGCTGATCATTACTATTAAAAAATACTTTAAAAGTATAAAATTCTATCAAAAATTATTTTAAGATATTGAGTGGTTCTTCAAAAAATAGTTAAAAATGATGAAATGTTACTGAAAAAATATTCCATAACACTGAATGCTAATTAAAAGAAAAAAAAACTGAGCACCTTACCTTTTGTACACGAAGCTGCAAAACAAGATAGTCATACAGGGGACATCCCCACCCAACCCCGAAGCCCCAATATTCTATTTAAACAAAATATTATTTTTGACCGGAATATTTAAACAAAATATTACTACCTTCAATCCTAAATGATGCGCATTGAACTCTATGCATACTACCAGGTCAAAAAAAAAGAAGGGAAAAAAAAACTCTGCACACATACTACGCAAGTACTGAACTCTAAACTTTTTTAGCATGCAGATATTAATTATGAGATTTTAAAATTTGAGTATCATGAAAAATTGAATACTAAAACAACTAAAAATGAGAATTGAAATAATGATAAAAGTTAATAAGTACTAAAAACATAATAATTGAAGATGGGTACTGAAAAATCAAAGAGGACGGTCATTTTCGTCAATTAAAAAAATAAGTTCTAAATAGGGACCTTAGTCTTTAATGAAAAATATAAAATTTATGATCTTTATATCATTATATATACAAAAACTTGAACATGAATTCCAGTTCGAATCAAACTCGAAAGGCTTATACTTTTGATCGTTTTTAAGATTTCACCTTCTCCATGTATTACTGCATGCAGGTTTTCAATCAAGTTGGTTTCATTTCCTAATGGTATAATTACTCACAAAATTTATTCTAATGTCCAGCATAAAATTTGCTTTTGTTAATTTGGATTAAGTTGCATTTATCACCATGAAGTATTTTTTTTCAGGAACACTTAGTATTCTAAATTAATTTGTAGTTGATGTAGCACATTCAAATATCTTTCTAATAACACCCAACATCCTATAATATTTTTCAGTAATTTTTCGTAGATTCAGCACTCTAAAGATTTTTCTATTAGTATTAAATATCCTAAAACTAAAAAATATTTTAAAGGAAAAATTGTATAAAAATATTTTAGTTACTTGGTACTACTAAAAAAATGCTACTTTAGGATGCTGGATTAATCATAAATTAGTTTACAACATTGAGTTATTAAAAAAATATTTTAAGGTATTAGATACATCTTAACCTTAACCTTGATATGATAATTTTGACTTATAGGTTATGCTTCTTGCTGAAACTGAAATTATGAGCTTCTGTGACTCTAGAATGGGCAACGAAAAATCTTGTTTATTAAATAATGTCTTGTAATCTGACAAGTTTTATGCGTCAATATATTATCAATATTTTGATGGAATTTAGCCACTTTAATTAATTGTTGATTATGCTATAGGTAATATCCACATAGAGCAACCAGCTAGGCTATGTGAACTTGACGGTCCTCAAATCTAACGAATTCTTTTAGATTTGGTCCTCAAATTTACACTCATTTTGATTTCAGTCCCATAAGAAATAAAATAATCTAGATTTTTATTAAATTATAAGGATTAATATTTAAGATGAAATAAAACTTGAAAGACCAAAATTTATAATTTGAAATTTGTGGGCCAAAATTAATGAGTATAAATTTAAAGAATCAAAATTATATTAACTATTTTTTAATACAAAATATCATTAGGTACACTTCTTGAACTGAGAATCAAAACAATTTAGATGCAGTTTTTAAGAAATTGATAGATTCAGTGATAGATAAATAAGTGACTGGGCAGACCTCTCGGCGGTCTGCTCGGTCTGATCATTGGCCAGCGACAGATCCACATGCATTGGAACGTAGTGCGGACCAAGGTGACGCATCGTTGTTATATTGCTTATTACTTGTCCGCTGCTGCTTCTTGTTTTTTCCTGAACAAAACGTTCACGCGAATTGAGTTTTGGGACTCACGAAAGTTATGGCATATTTTATTCTAAAAAAATATTTATAGAGATATTTATAAATCACTCAGTAGTAAAGTGATCCTTATATTATCAGCGAAATTTGAATTTATGATCTTATATGTTATAAATCGACTCCTTATTAATTAGATTAGTTCTTATTGAGTACTCATCTACTTCTTAATGTAAGCTAACAGCTGTTTAAATAGTTTGGATGGGAGCGTGTTTGAGTTATTGTTTTAAAAGAGTAGTATATGAGAAGACTTTTATTTTAATTTAAATAAAAGTAAGAAGAAGAAAGTCAAATGAATTACTTAGATCTCACAAAGTTGATATAATCTTCCTTAAACATTATCAATTTAAAGTCGTAAGAACTGAATTGATTCTTAACTAACAAAGCCAAAACTCCAAGGAACAAGTTAAGGGGTAATTTTGCCCATAAATTTTATTTATAAAACTTAAAAATTTATATAGTCAGTTCGATCAATATGAGCACATGCATGACCCTCGTCTTCATCATGAGCCTGTGTCAGTGTTAGAAAAGTTTGCCAACGTATATATTGTATTATTGAGTTACATCAACTCTGCACTACTTTCAGATAACCATTGGCAAAATCTGCATTCAATAACCCAACGATAACGAAAACGACATAATTAGAAGAAATAGACAAATTTTGCTTACTCTCAAGCACCAATCACCACGCCGTCCAGCCACGACAAAAGCTGATGAAGAATTAACATTATATTTGACCACTCCCAGCAAGGGCGAAGGATTAACATGAACTCCCTCAACTTATAAGTTTTAAATTGAAAAGGAGTGTGATTCATTTTATAAATTTCAATTTGAGTTTGTTTTAACAATTAATGTATTTTTTAAATTTTGTTCTTAATTATTTATTCTCTCTCATTTGTCATACTCTCTCTTATAACATTTTTTCACACATTTTCTTTAATCTTTTTTCTAATTTATTATAAGGCATATTGAGAATAGAATATATTTTAACCTATTTATTGCTTTTAATTAATTGCTTGTTATTCACGAATTAGTTATTTGAAACTTCTAATAATATTTGACCACCTCTGCAATGGTTTTTAATATCGTCACTATTTATTATAAGGGCATATTTAAGAATAAAAATGTATTTCCAATCTATTTATTGCATTTAACTAATTGTTTGTTATTCACAAATTAGTTATTTGAAATTTACAATAAAAATTGGATAAAGTAAATTGATAAACTATATTTAATGTCCTCACTCTTTAATATACCTTTTTTTGGGTGTAAATTCAAAGTATTTTCAAGTCCTATCAACAAGTATATTTTTGGGATTCGAATTTGCATTCTCCTCATTACTAGGGTGAGATTGCTTACTATTTCAATTAACAGCTTATTGGAAATATTTTTATAACATCCCAACTTTTTAAATGTTTCTTTAATTTTATTATTATATAAAATTAATAATATTTTAATATCTTACTAATATAAATTGATGTCGTTTTGAATTTTTTAATAATTTTTTAAGATCTGCATTATAAAGAGTATTAGAGAGTAGCGCATTATAACCCTTGCCCCACACCTACAATATACCACTGCTAAAAATATTTACATGACACTTTATTTTATCTTTATTTAATGATTATTAATCAATATTCGGATCTTATTCAGATTAATTGTGTA